ACTTGCGGTGCTGTAGGTGCGGCGTTCGCGGCGGCCTTTTCTTTTAGCTCGAGACGACGTTGGAGGAGGGGAGAACGGGCTGCGAGGGATGCGGGAGATATTTTATTGAAGAGATCATTATTTGGCGGCTTATCAATCTCCGCGAACTCTTTTCCCTTGAGCTATTCCAAACTCAGCGTTACTCAGGTTCAAAAGTATAGATCTTACCATTGCGGCTGCCCAGCTTTCCACATGTGCATGACTTAGCGGGAAATGCTCTGGATCATTCGGATCGACAAAACAATGTTCACTGCCGCAACGTCCACCCGGAGTGGGACAGATCCATTTATCGCGTATAGCCCCCATCTTGGCATTGAGAGCGATGTTTGCAGGGAGAATGTCGTGTTCCTTTCGAATCTAAGCATCGTAAGGACCGAAATTGTATTGAGGCGAAACTTTACTTGCCTTGGTTTTTTTGCCCTTCTGGCCGTGCTGTTCATCACCATCCAGATCGTCGTGGCTAGCAGAATTCTCCTTTTCATTTGCGGGATGTCCCTTCAGTGCAGGAGGATGAGCATCTCCGATATGGACATCACGGCACGGAGCACTGACCAATTTTGGCTCGACAATTATCTTAGCATTGGGGGTTTTCTGAATTTCAAGTGCATGGCTGACCAGGTGTTCGTAGTTTTCCTCGTTGAGTACCAAAGGGACAGTGAGTTGACGTGGAACAGTGAAGATTATGTCGTAATTAGTGAAACAGATATTTGCGGGCTTGAGTACATCGGAGATTTTGACGAGTATCTGGGCTTTTACAGTGTCCCAAGGTTCATTGCTGTTCAGGTTAAAAATGTTGGACTCAGGCCGACCACGGGAGCTCTTTGATTTTCGCATTTGCTCGGCTGTGAAGACGCAAATGGTGTACTGAATCTTCTTGATAGGTGCGGTGTCTTCTGTAGTATGTATAATAAAATGAGGATGTCTGTGCACGCCGTGCACAAGAAACGCACCTCGCTTTTCCTTTTTCCCGGGCCCACGCTTCCGTTTCTGCGGGATCGAGACCCTTCTCGCGTCCTCCTCTTCCTCCTCTTCCTCCTCTTCCTCGTCCTCCTCTTCGTCCTCTTCTTCGTCGGAACTCAGTAGGTTGATCTCCGTGTCATCGTCGGAGTCGAGCTGAAGCACGGTAATGGCAGCCGAGATTTTGCGTGCGGAAGTGCGTGCGGAAGTGCGAGTGGGCATCGATAGCAACGATCTGCGAGATCTCACCAAGATCAGTCAGATGCGGGAATTCAAGGGCTTTGTAACGCACATAGAACAGAAGAAAACGGTGCAGAATTGAGCGAGAGCGAGGCGACACAAGACGGGAAGCGAGGAACGAGAGCAAGCGATGGGGGCCAGGAAGTAAGGGAACTGGCGCCACTGGTTAGTACCGGTCGAAGGTCCAGACAAATCGGGTTCGAACGCGCCTAATTTCAGCCGACACGACCAAGAAATACGCCCGCAAGAAAGCTGCCAAGATTGGGCTGTCGCGAGCAGAGGCCGAATTGGGTCCAAAATTGAAACTGAAGATTGGGGCCCGAGGTCAGGTCGGTTGGATAGCCACCTAAAAACGGCGTCGAACGCACCTAGACACAAAGAGTTTGGTCAAGAAATGAGCCCGGGACGAGCAAGATAAGGTGAGGGATCAAATTTGCTCTTATTTACGCAGATTTTGATGAGTGTCATTAGATATGCAAAGAGCTGTAAGTCTGTCCACAACTTAAGTTCTCGTCAATCACCCCCCCCCAAAAAAAACAAAGTATAGTCAACTACTTAAGTTACTGACTGAGGAGTACTTAAGTTCTTGTCCGTCTTCATATTTGCGCACAACTTGAGCTCTACACGGGCTCCAGCTCCATGTATTAAATAGAAGTGGAGAACCAACATACCTTCGGCTAGGCCTTCTTCCACGTGTGGCCCTCGCCCGTGCCGAGCGCCGCATCGAGAGTGCCACTGCTGCTAAGCCGCCGTCAGCCTGCGATCCCGACTCGGAGAGGAGGACTGCACGTACGCTGCTGTTGAGGAAGATGGGGGACCGCTGAGGATCTAGGTGTGCACGCGGGTGAGCGACACGGTGGCGCGGGGACAGCGAGAGACGTACCATGGGGTCTCACGCCGATGAAGCGCGCTGCGCACAGTCTCGGGCCGAGTCGTCAGCATTCCTCTCACCGGAGAGATGGCGAGACACACCCGTCAATGGCACTGCCGAGCAGGACGAGCACTGCGCTTGTGCCGATCTTCTCCCAGAACGCGGCCAGAAGGTTGTGGAGGAGAAGAGAAAGAGACGTGCCACCCAAATTGACATCGCCAAATATTTGTCAGGACGTCACTCACGTGCCGCTTGACTTGTCGACGACTAGACTTCAGTCAGTGCCACTCACTCACTCACTTCCTCCCAACTTCCTCCCCTCTCCGACCCATCTCCAACGAACTTCGACGGCGCGACCAGACTAGACGGGCACCTGGCGAGGCGGCGTCCTCCCTCGGGGTTTGGGGCTCATGCTCTATTCAAGTTCGTCCATATCGAGGTTGCCACTCCGAGTCGTGTACTCCGAGTCTGACAAGAAGCCGGGAGAGGTGGCAATGCAGCGCCTGATTGTCTACCTCCTCCTCTTCCTTTTCGACGTGTTCCCCGTGTGCGTAAGTCAATTTCCTTCACCAACCGCACGTCTATAAGCTGTGCCCGCAAGCGCTAGGTTTTGCCACCCAAATGGCACGCGCCCGCCCCGGACGGCGTGTCGAGGAGGCCTGCGAGTGCGCTGGCGGCGGGGGCAGAGCGCGAGAAAGAGGCGCCCGAGTGTGGTGCCAAGCGCACGGCCCCAGGTCTCCGCGGCGGGCGGGGCGCTGCCGGTGCGATGCAGAAGGTCGTGGCGTCGCCGTCTCCGCGAAGTCGACCCTAGGTACTTAAGTTTGGCTGGAACTTAAGTACCGCAGGAACTTAAGTGCGACAGGAACTTGAGTGGTGGGGAACTTAAGTTGCTGTCGGACTTAAGTTGTTAGTGGACTTAAGTTTAGGACAAGGGCCCATTTCATTGCATACAGTACACATATATAGGCTACGGGGAAGAACTTAAGTTCTTCCAGAACTTACAAGTTCTTGGCGGTCTGGACCGCCAGAACTTAAGATCGGCTGCTTGAGTTTCATGTCGCGGATCGTGTACCCTCCGTACAAGACCCACTCACGCTGTCTGATCGGCCCCCCTCTGATCGCTGTCTGCGCTTCTGCGCGGCTCACAACTCACAACTACCGTCCACCACGCTAAAGCAGCGACGTCGAACAGGACCATACATCTCTGCACAGTCGCTATCTAAATCCGCTAGCTCGCTATGAACCGAGGGAATGACGATGGAGCTCATGGCCCTTACTTCAATTTAAGGCACACCGGGAATTCAACAACATGGCCCGCGTCCGCAGCCTAATAGTTGACCTCCAGATCTGTCTTTATTTCTGTTCCGGGAATGAAATGTGTTTTCGTATGCATATGCTACCACTCAATCCTTGCCCACTCACGCCACCTTCCCCCTCCCCTTCCTGGCAGATCTAGGACTCGGCGCGAAGAGGCTCCCCCCCGCTCTGAGTCGCAACGAGCTTCCGTGTCGTGCGTTTGGCTACATACCTCACTGTGCATGCTCCTCGCTTGGGGCGCTACACTACGCGTTCAGAGCATTATGCTCGGATTTCGGCATTTCAAAGACTCCGGTGAAGCATTTGGTCGTTTGTGGCGCTGCTTGACGACTGCCTTCTTTACTGGGTACTCCTGCATCTGTGGCATCTTCAGCGCTGACGCTAGTGAGTACACTATACTTTTTCGGATCCGCAGTCAGTTCTTGTGCGGTATTCCTCTGCGCTCTTGCCGTATCCCCCCGTTCCACGCCATTTGCGGACCGGACTGCGCTAATGGCATCTCCTGCTGTAAGTTCCCCGGACCCCGTGTCTCACAGGCCCATGTTCGCTGGACCGCCGGGTAGCTACCTTCCTTCGCCCTCGAGTGTGGATCAGATTGCTTCCTATTGTTTTGCCACGGATTTATTCCTGACTCATAGACTCGTCCTAGCGCTGTTTGCGTTGCGTCTTTTTTTGAAAAGATGGAAACGGCTTGCAGTCTTAATCCCGAGATTCCTGAGCTCTTCGGAAACCAGTTGTGAAAGCCCCACGCACGGAATCCGGATGTCCTTATACAGTTGCCACTCTGTGCTGTGGCACAGAACGTCGGCTGTGTACCCAATCCTACGTCTGTAAGAGACCCTAGAACAGTGCTGCACTCACAGATCTCACCTAAACGGACTCTGGAAGGCAGAGGAGGCAAAACAATCAAATAGGGAAAGTGCCCAGTTAAGAAGGCAGCTACACATCCCCTTTCCCTGCACTTTTGCATGGGGCCTCAGGAAAAGGTAGAGACCCTGCAGTCAAAGGCCCGAGAGGTTCCCGCAAGTGCACGCAGAGTGCTCGGCAGTTTCGTGGCATCGATGGGTCATCACTGGCGGCCCCCCTGTCGGGGGCGGCACCGACTTAGAAGTGCGTGATCGGTGTGCCACAACTTTTCTGAGGCAAGTCGGAAAGTTATGGCTGACAAGTTACATAGCTCTGTTCACAGCTTCATAATAATGCTTGAAATTAGAAGTGATCTGGAGGTGGCTAAAATTATGATTTGTTTGACTGCGCCAGCATTTTCGGAATGCGTAGGTTGCACACAGCGAGATTCTCCCGTTCAATACATCACCGGGCGTGAAACCTGGTGAATAAACACTATTGGCGCAGTCTGAATAATGAAATGAAATACCAAGTTCAGCCGCCCCCCATGAGTCCTCCCACTGCTCCCCCTTCTGGGATCCACTGATCACAGACAAGTATTCCCTTTCGTAAAAACCGCTGTCTCAAAAGAGTCCTAATTATCTCAGAATCACAAGGAAAAGAAAATAAGAAAATAAGAAATAATCCATTCATGAGGCCCTTGGGAATGACTCTACCGATTTGGGGTGAGTTTGCGGTGGTGTAGCGGTAACATGCGAGCTTCTTACATCTGGCTGAATACGTCAGTGTTGAGCACGCGCCCGGGGTTCGACTCCTCGCCAAGGAACTATTTTTTGCTTTGTTACTTATTGTTCCTGCTCCCATTCAAACAGGGGCTCTTATTGAGGTGTGCTTCCGCCCCACACGAATCATTGCTGTTGCGTAATCAGCACGCGATAGCCTGGGGGCTCAATTCGACTTGGAATAGTACCAGTTTCTATAAGTAGTTTTTGGTTTTTCATCATATTTGGTTTACGCTCAATGCACAACGGTAGTGTGAGTTCTCTCCTTCTACGGATATGATGAAACTTGCTTCCTCGATGAATAGACGGTTGATGCTGTTTTGAATTCGATGAAAAAAAATTGAGGCGGCAATAATGCAACACGTACATTTGTTTTGTCATTGAATTTGGAATCCGAAGCATGAACACCAGCACTATGAATGAACTTTTCAGTCCAGTCAGCTGCATGTGCATTCCCAGATGCGCGTGCTCGGATGCGTCATACAACGAGTCAGAGGAAAAGGACTCAGTTTGTGGTAGTTGACTTACCATGAGCAAATGGAACATCCATTGCACTAGACAATTGACAAAGTGGGTCCTCTAGATGTCGCACCACATCCTGACTATCCAGATCGAAACATAGACTCGAATCCAGCCTGTCTATGAAAGCAAGCTTGTTGATAGACAGGCTGGTCGATCTGAGTTTGAGTTCCCATGATCATGCGCGAGATTCCATTAATAAGCAACATTTTAGGTGGGCGGGTTCGAATCCTAAGAGTAACAATGTTTACATCAAATTTTTGGCTCGGGTAAGGACACAGCCTCCATATAAGGTGATTTGAGTTGTTTAATGTCTCGATTCAATATATTTCAGATGACGGGATGCAGCCCGGCCAATGCTTACAAATAAGCCTGTTATGGTATCTCCCGTGTGATGGCATTTCAAACTCAGATCGACTGTAAATGTTAGTTAATTCAGAGAACTGTACGGCCTCTTCAGTATAATTCCTGCCCTCTGATCTTACTTGTCTTCTCTAGACACGAGACATTAAACGGTGTGCTGAGCAGCGGAGAAGGATGGCGTACCTCGAAGCCACTTGGGACTTGCTCCCATTGGAGTGTACTCGGCCCACCGGATATCATTAAAACACAGCTCCGGATATTGCACAGCGCCTGGTACGAGCTGGTACGATCTTCTTTGTATCCCCTCATCACCTGATCGCTGGGAGGTGGGCCAGCACCATTACTATCACGGCGATGTGAGCATCGTGAAAAGATGGGGCGATGCCATAATACATCCATCGTCCCTTGAGTACATGAACACTACTTGCCCTGATACAAGTTTATAACACGAAATAATAAGGACTCAAGTGGCAGGATGACTCACTTCAACAGCGTCACAAGTCGCTCGCAGACAGCCTTCGTCCTGAACTCGTGGCCCGCTAGCATTAGCACGAGTTTGTGTGTCAACCTCCATACGTCTGGGTACTGCGACTGCAAAAGGTCCGGTGCGCAGTCCAGGGGTTTTGCTGTTATAACAACTTCCGCACCATCCAGCCATTTGGACGTGCTGCCCAGTGCTTTCAGTGCTGCCGAAAGCACTTCAGCATTGCTGACACTTATCCGAAATTAGATACAAGGGTAAAAGAGCACAAATGGACCCACCATAAGAGGGTGCCAGGTGAGACTCGCTGTAAGAAATCTACGACCGCCATACACGGGCGTAAGCCCAACACAGCATGAATCTCACCACATTCTCCAAGAGGTCGCAGGCCCATTTTCGGACCTGAGCGCTGGGGGATTCCACCAGTTCCGCGATGCGGCCTAAGAAATTTGTGGTAACAGAGGCTTGTGCGCCTTTCAGTGACCGCGTGATAGTGGCGAGTGCGTACATCATACTTTCGCAAACAGAAAGACTGTGATCACTGTTGGAGTATAAATGTTTTTTTTTCCAGAGTTTAAGAGAACCACTAACCTTAACAGAAACACAAGGATACCACAGGGGTTCATGTCCAATACAGCTACTGCTGTGGAGTCGTGGAACGTCCAGGTCGGCCAATAGTTGGCAAGTCCATCTCCGGACCTGAGAGTTTTTGGATTGAAGCAATTCCACAACGTAATCCAGTGCCCATGCTTCCAAAGTTTCCAGCAATTTTCCAGGGCACATCATTGAATTCAAGTGAAGCTGCAAAGTGCTTCAATTGCACCCCCAACAATGTCAATAATTTTGCCCCTTGATTGAGAGGGCTACCTCAGTGAGAATCCCGAAAGGAATAAGAGACTTGCCGCAAGAGAGGTATGAGTTTCTCGCATGTTGCAACTGCTATGGACTCGTCCCGCACCAGATTGAATAACATCCTCAATGCCGGGAACCGTTGATAAGCCGTGGACAAACCGCAGGTGTATTTTCGCATTTCGCGTCTTTATACTTATAAAGCATGCGCTCGCTATCCTATAAGAGGCTATCAGGAGCTCCGAACAAGTAGCTTAACAGTCACAGAGCTTAGGTTCTCTATTGGCATGATCCTATGGCAGTACCTCAACTTGGGGCCAAGCGGGCACCGTGGCCACAACAGCGTTGGTCTCGCGCGGCGCGAACGGCGAAGATGGGGGATGGCGCGCGTGACGATGGCATTGAGCGGCTCTACGTGCGCCATGGCCACGACGGTGTCAGCTCGTGCGAGGACCACCGGCGAGGAGGCGGAAGGCGGCGCGCGCTGTGATGAGGACCGCGGTGCTACGGTGTGAAATGATGATGGTATTCGCGATGTAGCTACGTTCGTCCTCTAGGGGTTATATCAGATGGTTTCTAGTTTAGAGAGGGTGGCGGTGGAGAAACAGGTATGTTGGTCCGGATGGTGTACTTGGTTGGAACTGTGTGGTTAACAAAACGGACGGCTTAGAATATAGAAATACTTGTTCAGATAGGTCAGTGGTGAACGGTCTGAACTCCTAAAGTCTCCTCTTCGATTCGGTTTGCCGCCTTTCCCCTAGGTGCTGGGCGAGAGACTGAATTCGTGAATCCTCCAAGTCGGGGATTCCGTGGTGGCTTTAACGTCGACAAGAGTTGGTCGTACGGCGATGGTGTTGCTTGGTACGTCCTTGCGGTCGTAGACGATTTGCTATGTAGACCTTTACAAGGTTCCCACTACTGCACGACGATGTGTCTGCGTAGGAAGGTGTGCACAGGTAAGGCTTTCGAGGATGATGAAGTGCGAGCTCTTTGAAGAGGAGCTGCAAGTGTGGGAGGAGAGTAGAGTGCCCTAGAGCAAGCGTGAACTGGTGGGTGTGTGTGTGTGTAATCAACTCTTGTATTGGGGGGACAAGGTACACTGGGTGAAGAGTGGGGGAAAACTCTTGCCCAAGAATTTGATGATGGTTGGTAGTTGTGTGTGTGTGTAGTATGTGGGTGTGGGTGTGTATCTGATAAGTATTTGTATGTATCCTGAGAATGTCAGGTGTTTGAAACATAGCTGGTGTAGCAGGCCGATGTGCGAACAATAAGTCAAGTTTGAAATGAGAACGACAATACTAGAGGATGGCAACTGAGACAACAGTGCAGACCGGTCTGACACAATAGCTGGTTCCATTGGCTGGACATTGGAAGGGGTGTGTAGTGCTGAGGTCGAAAAGAGTGTGTGGTTGCCACATGGCTGGTAGAAGGAGGTGCCAGACTTGGTTGTTAACAAGTGTGCTCGATCAAGGTGACGATGCTGGGGGTGCGACGAGTGTGGGTGGATGATGATGATGCACCCTCTGTGGTGTCCATGGTGCCTTCTTTTCTACATCCTTCATATGTCTCTATATTCCCAATGGTTGGTCCTTTTATCTGCAAAGATAAGGGAGGGGAATGTCCAGATGTGGTGAGGGCTGAGGTCGAAAGAGTGTGTGGTTGCCAGGTGGCTGGTAGAAGGATCCTCTGTGATGTCCATGGTGCCTTCTTTTCTATATCCTTCATATGTCTCTATATTCCCAATGGTTGGTCCTTTTATCTGCAAAGATAAGGGAGGGGAATGTCCAGATGTGGTGAGGGCTGAGGTCGAAAGAGTGTGTGGTTGCCAGGTGGCTGGTAGAAGGATCACCCTCTGTGGTGTCCATGGTGCCTTCTTTTCTACACCCTTCACATGTCTCCATATTCCCAATGGTTGGTCCTGTTATCTGCAAAGATAAGGGAGGGGAATGTCCAGATGTGGTGAGGGCTGAGGAGCCTGATCCTAGCTGGTGATTAACTGTGGATTGTGGGGGAGGCAAACTCCACTGGGTGGAGAATGGGGGAGAACTGTGTCCCAAGAATTTGATGACTACTGGCTAAAATAGGTGGTCCTTTTATAACTTTTCCGACTCTACACAGCCTTTGGTCCCCCGTCGCACCATAGACCTTCCCTAGAGAACGATCCCAGCAGATAGAGAGCGCCAATCCCCGAGGATTCGGCTTATAGAATTGCTGCGTCAGCAAATCTGGCGGGATTTGGTGTCAAAACCTCGTTGTAACAGTCGATTCCGGCAGTATTCGCCGACAGACCAGCAGGATTTGGGATGTGGACTCATTGGGTCGTGTTTCAGGCCTCGAACACGTCCCAACATGGATGAATCTTCCCGCGTGCTATCAGTGTCCGTCCTCTATCCGGTGGGAGCTCAGTGGTTGTCACCTTGTGGGCGGAGTGCGAGGATACAGGCCTCTCTGAGGGCATATCCCAGAGGATTCTCATGGTTAGAGCCTGTATCTTGTAAAGTCCGAACTGTAGGTGGTATTCAAGACGTCTGGGGGGTTTGTGGTGCACGAGCTACGGTGTAATCCCGTGGGATCTTGGTCGTATCGCGCCGTGGTGACAGATGTGTGCGAAATCCCGTGGGATCGAGTTTGTGAGGATGCTTATAGCATTGGAGTTATATGAAATCCCGAGGGAAGAGGCTGGGGGTGCGGTTGGTGTTGTACGAGGTGGATTCCCGCGGGAAGGGGCGCAGCGAGCGAGATTCCTGGAGGAATATCCAAATGCGGATTCTTGTAGTCCAAATCGGGTGATTGTGTCATGTCAAGTCCGTCACAGCCGCGTTGGTGCGCGAG